GTACATGGGAAGCAATATAACATACAACAAAGACATATACAGTGAGTTTAAGTACTACTGTGAACAGCATGAGATTGAAGTAATGAGTAAAGGAGACTTTGAAACGCTTATGAAAGACAGTAAGGAGGTCGTTCATGAGAACAGTGATAGTTCATGAGAACAGTGAGGAGGTCATACATGAGAACAGTAAATAGTTCATGAGAACAGTGAGGAGGTCATACATGAGAACAGTGAAATAGTTCATGATGTCGTTCGTGAAGAAGCCATTGCAACAAAGAATGAGATAAAGGATTTCATAGAACTTAACAAGGAGGAGTTTAAAGAAGGCTATGAAGTGAAAAGATGTGAAGAAGATTTCTTGGCGTATTTGAAGAAAAAGAGACTAAAGCCAATGGCTCAAAATAAGTTTCAATCGATGTTTGAAAAGAAACGTTTGAGCTATGGTGGTGTAAGAAGCACATATTACTTTGTTAAGAAGTGAGGACATTTATTTTTGTCGTTAGTGTTGGAGTTTGTGTTTGTTGTTAGCGTTTGTCATTTGTGCTGAAGTTAGTACTTGATGTTAGTGTTGGAGTTTGTACTTATTGTTAGTGAGAGAATAAATTAAATCATGAACTTTGCCATGGTCTCTGTCCCTAGTAGTTTTCATTAAGTTCTGGAAATAATGAAAGTCATGAACTTTGCCATGGTCTCTGTCCCTAGTAGTTTTCATTAAGTTCTGGAAATAATGAAAGTCATGAACTTTGCCATGGTCTCTGTCCCTAGTAGTTTTCATTAAGTTCTGGAAATAATGAAAGTCATACTTTCTATCAGATGAAGCATGCAGATGAACATAATGAAAGTTAGTGAGTTTGCCACGAGTTATGAATAAAATATTGGCATATTAGATGAGATAGCTGATGAAACAGATGAAGATAAATTAAATCTTGGACTTTGCCACACTCTGTCCCTAGTTCCTCAAAATCCTTGACAACGTTGCTTAGAAATTTTGGTTCAAAACCTCATCTGATTTTAATCTGTTATGCTACCTGTTAAGTTTCGCGAGATTATAAATGTCATGGAGTTATATAAAAAGGAGGGACAGCTAGGGACACTGGAAGTACTTGTAAGGCTATCTGTTAAGATTGCATGAAATACTAAAAAGTCATGAAATCCATTATCGCTGTGCTAGCTTCACCTTTGATTGAAATGACAAATAAAGTCACTGAAGCAATGAAACAAAAGTTTTTGGTAGAATACCTTAAATCAGGAACTATTCCAGAAGGTTTTTACATTCATACTATGAAGGATGGTAGAGTTCAGTTTAGAAAGATAAAGCAACCATTAGATAAAGAAGGAATTTTGAGAAAGATTAAACTTCATGAGTACAACATTGCTAAACTTAGGAAGAAGTTAGAAGAGTTGGATAAAGCAGACGACAGTGAGGAATAAAATTTTTAACGTTAGTTTTATTTTTACTGAAAATTTTTATTTGGATGTAAATGACAGAACAAAAGCAACTCATTCGAATTCCACAGTATAACAAACATACATTTAAACATTTATTCTTCCTTCCTGAGCATAACATGTTCTTTCAAATACATCCGAGACCAGTTGACTTTTCATTGACTGTGTATAAAGATAGAAATAGTTATATCATTAAACCATACGATGACGAAGGTAAGTTATGTAAATTGTACGTTAAGAAGTTAGAGAAAGTTTATGACTTCAAGTATGACTACAATAGGGTTAACACTGATGATGAAGATATTGAGGAAAATTTATGAGAACGTTTATTTTTTCATTAGTGAGTTCGTTAGTGGGTGAAGAGGTTGGTGGCTTTGTAAATATTTAAGGTTAAGTTGGTGTTGTCGTTTGTGTTGTAAAATATACGTTAACGGTTTTGTAAAGTGTCAAATTCACATATCATGGGTAAGGAGGCGCGCAGTGCCGCCGTACCCTTGATATGTTTACTAACTATCTTGGAGTTATTAAATATCTTATTTCTGTTGGAGCAAATAAAGAAGCCAAAAATATAGGGTGTCCAAAGGTGTGTTTAGCACAAACCTGAATACTGCGAATAGAAATAAACAAGTTACATATATATAAAGTTTATTTAAATATAATCACCATTGGATTCAATCACGCGTTCGCAGCGATCGATCCAGGCTTCAAAGACACGCTTTAAATCATCATGAGAAAATTGCTCAAATTGCTCTCTTACAAAATTTTCAAGATCATCTGGACTCGCGAATTCGCGTCCTTCAGCTCTCTTTTTTAGCGTGCCGAATAAATAAAAGTCAGAGGGTGCAATATCAGGTGAATAAATTGGGTTTGGAACAACTTTGACATTGTTTTCCAACAAGTAATTCATTACCTTATGACTTTTGTGAACTCTTGAATTATCAAAATGAATTGCAAACTTTTGTTTTTGTTGTTTGGATTTCTCAAACTCATCAGAATTGATAATTTGAGTAAGAACATTGTCAATTAGATACTGAGCATTCATCGTATTAGGTTTTTGAAGAATATCAATTGCGATGATGCCATTCACGCCCCAAAAAACCGACAACATCATCATTGGTGTGTCAATTTTTTTCTTCGGGAATGTTTGCGGATTTTCATCCTTCGGGATCCACATGATTTTGGCTTCTGTTGCATATTGAAACCAAGACTCGTCCCCTGTTACTAAAAAGCGAAACTTCTTGGATTGATACGCACGCAATATAGAGAGGAGCTCTTTCGAAGATTGGACTCTAGATTTTTTTTGAACTGAATTAAGGTTGTGCGGAACCCAACGTGTATACGCTAGTTTGTAGTTCAAATAATTGTGCAGATAATAACTGACTGTTGTACGTGGTATCTTTGTCATCTCCTCTATCCTTCTGAGTGATGCTCTTGGGTCTTCATCTAGCGCTTGAAGAATTGCTTTGATTTTTCTTTGATCCGGCGATTTTTTGTCAATTTTTATGATGGGCGCCTTTTTGTTCATGAAGTGATACATCCTAACATGATACGTTACAGTGGAATAGCTAGGAGCATCCATACCGAAGCATTTTACCAATGTCTCGTAGATTTTTTTACAGTCTTTGCATTTTTTTGCAAGAGCGAGGATGTTTTCTTTATGATTCATTAAAAAAATGAAAAAAAATCCCGCCAAAATTTCCCGCGAAACCGCCTCTTGTCTCAAAATTCATTTTATATCCCGGCATGGCGCCAAAATACAACATACTCATCATATACATATATTCATATTTTTTATTATATATTTATAATCAGCATATATCTCCTTTAATAGTCTCATATAGAGCGCTGTGCTAAACGCACCTTTGGACACCCTATAATAATGGAAATACACCACTCAGTATTGCATCATTGAATGGACACCTTGAAGTTGTAAAATATCTTATCTCTGTGGGAGCAAATAAAGAAACAAAGAATAACCATGGAAATATACCACTCCCATGAGCATCGGAATATGGTAATCTTAATGTTGTTAAGTATCCAATTCTTATTGGAGCAAATAAAGAAGCAAAGAATAATTGTGGAAATATTCCGCTCGATTATGCTAACAATATAAATATAAGACAATGTTTAAAAACTGATGGCATGAATACCATTTAGAGAAATTTTACAAATTATAAACTTCTTTATTGTAATTCAATAAATGGTCAAACTGTAATAGATTTTACTTTTTACATAAAGGGTAAAATAATGATATTTATACAATTTCACAGATATTCAAATACATTAATTTTTGAAATAACTTATTATGCATAATAAAATAACATTGATTATAGTAATTAATAAACTTTACATGAAAAATAAAATATAAAATAACATAATATATAAAAGAATTAGTTACTTGGCCTACTTATATAATAAGTCACTTGGTTTCCTTTTCCTTTCAAGAATGTTTCACCTCTTTTAACGAAATCATACTTCATTTCCTTTAACAGATCATATATTCCTGAACTGACATGAACTTTATTGACAGCAGAGGAAGTCTGCAACCTTGCAGCAACATTGATTGTATCTCCGATAATATCGAACAAAGGTTTATCTGTACCCAAAACGCCTGCTATAATTGGACCACCAGTGTTGACTCCAATTCTCACTTCTAAGTTCGAATTTAAGGGTGCACCCGTATGTACGTTTATTTGAGAGGAGGAGGATTACCCTCTCAATTTTGAGGGATTCGTTAGTTTATTTTCTCGATGAATATGCAATAAAATTTGATTTTTACCTATGGCATTCCAAACGGGAACCGCGGTTGGTTACCATGGATTTCCGTCACCGGTCACATTTTAAAGATTTTTTAAGCCTTATAAAATATGCTTTGTAAATCATTTTTTGTAAATCGGCAAAAATTTGGTAATTTTCTTCAACTAATAAATCTGCGAATAGCATTTATAATACAAGAACAATCTTTTAAAATGCGTTTGATTCATTTTTCTATAATTTCATATAGGCACATATATTCTTCCGGGACTTTCCGTGATTTTACCGTAAAATCATTAGTTTACACCAATTTTTCCGTATTTTGAATAGTTTACTGCACTTTTCCCGTAAAATTGAGTTACGGGAATCCGCAAAATTTCCGGACCTCATTTTTCATAGAATATAATAATAATATTTGATAAAAAGATATATTATTTATATTTTTGATTTTTGAATTACGGAAAAAGTGAATTGATAACTTGATTTTTTATATGGTTAATTTTTCAAATGATATTATGAAGATCTAAAATATTAAAAGTAAAAAATTGAATTACGGAAAAAGTGAGGTCAAAAGTGAAATAAATTTGCAGAACAATTTTCATTGAAATAAGCTTTATTTTTCATTATTAATAACAATGCAAAAAATATTTATCACGGGTTCAAAATTTAAAATTAAATATTTTAATAATTTACATCTTATTCTTTATTTTATATTTAACCCGTGAAAATATCATTTAAAAATTGAATATATTCAAAAAGCTTTATTTTTATTATGACTGCATGGGATCCTCATGTATATGATGAGTGGATTCCATTTAAGAAGACGAAATATCCACCAACTGGACTGCGGAACACACGGCAGCCGTCATGGTCTATTCTCTTGTGTGTGCAATCCAGGCAAAACAGATCGCCACCAATTCTTCGACACAACAATTTCGACTAATTGGACATACGAGGACTACCATACGTGGTTTGATTCTCTTAAGGTTAATTAAAACCACGTAGCTGGAGTAGTCGGAGATGGTTTGCCAGCCCAGGTTAAAGGACTCTGCCACTGGAGGCCAGAAGGAGCCCTTTTTTCTGGCTTACAAACCGTGTACATTTGTTGCCTTAACCACGTCTTGAACAATGCTATTGTCCACGCACGTAAGCAATGTCCATTGTTGAATGAACTGATGAATAGAGTTCACCAGATTATCATTATCTTTAAGAATCACGATATGAGAGCGAGATACAAGATCAGGGTTCCATCAATCCCGGAAACTCGCTGGCTCTACATATATGATACTCTGTTTTTCATCTTTGATAATCTGGAAACAATTAATACTGCTTTAAGAAGTGGAGATCTTCCACTATCCCTTTCCAGAGCTACACGTGAACAGTTACAATGGACACGTGATGGAATTCCTCCACTCTTTAAAGATGCTTTAATGATATTCAAGCCATTAAAGCAACTTCAATTATGGCTGGAATCCAACAAGTCCATGGGTGCTTATGCATTCCTGATGATACAACAGTGCCAAGGGATGTTGGATGAAATGGCAGGAAGATTAACGCCAGATGGTGAAGAGATTCTCCGATCAATCACTACAATATTCAAAAATGATATGAAAGAATATGGTAGAATTGATTTGCTTCGGTTTGCTTTCGGCTTTACACCGTTAGCAAGGAAGATCATCAGAGACAAGAAGGGTTTTGGAGGAAAGACAAGCTATCCACCTATAATGCAGTTGAAAGATGTGCAAGTCCCAACGATTCCTTCCCTGAGGATCATCAATCGCGAGATCACATTTGAGAAACTCGGCGAAATCCTTGAAGAAGAACGAACAGAACGTGTTGACGAGGTAGCCGAGCATGATGAAGAGATCCAGCAAGCAGAAGAGGAACAAATGCTTAACGACGATCATGCAGCCGAAACAAATGCCGATGGTTCGAGGAATTCCTTGGTCTGGGATGTTGTAGATGAAGAGATAAAAGATCTATACACATTCATGATAACAATCCTCAGACAAAGAGCAATTGCCGAATCAACAGTTGATCCAACGATCAATAAAGACGATAGAGCCAAGGAATTGAGTGATGCTTACGATTTCTTCATAGAGCAAGATGATTCCCATCTTATAAATGGTCATCATCTTGCTCAAAATGATGGCAAGTTTTGGTACATGAATGGCATAAAGCAACTAAAAGCAATAAGACCAATTGGAAAAAGGATGATGTCACTTTCGTGCAGTGAAGCAGATGTAGAACGTGTAATATCTGAATTGCGAAAGACAAGAAATTCAATGAACGAATCATGCAAAGAAGAATATGTAGCATGCCGCTTCTTCATCAAGTTGAATGATGATCAATTTGATATTTGATTTTGTTTTTTAATAAAATTTATTAAATAATTTGTTTTAAAAAGTATTATTTTTATTCGTAAAGATATTAGACAGAAGGTGGCCAGCCTAATGTCTATCAATCTTTAATATTAGTAGTAATTTCCCGCATTTCTGAATGATGATTGATTAGCTTTATTGTTATTGATGTAAAACTGGATAAGTATTAAATAATTATATTAATCTTGGCCAGGGGACTGCTGATGGCCAGTCAGCAGCGGCCACTATGAATCATTATAATTATTTAATACCTAAATTGAGGTAAAAAGCAATAAGACTTGCCGAGCCTCATGATCCTACCTCATATAAATAGAATCACACTTTAGTGAATCAACATCTATAAGAATGAAGTGTTTTGAAGCTGAAATAATATTGAATAGAAATTAATTTTTTTCTGAAATTTTGAATGAAATTATGGGAAATAAAAAAATTACTAAATATTGTATTCATACAAATATATTATTTTAAAGGAAAAATAGATGCTGATGAGAAAGGGACAGACTAGCCCATTGTCACTTTTTAATTTAGCAAATGAACGCTTATGGAGTGGAGTTTTTGGGTAAATATGATTTGCTTATAAATGAAATAAAATCAAAAGAAACCATATTGGCATTATATTATGCAAAAATAAATGATCTTACTTAGTACTTTTAAAGTTAATTTCAGAAAAAATTTGACACAATGGTATCCGGCACATACAAGTGGTGTACAACCAAAATATAAGTTAGTTTAAACATATATTGCTATATCTCATGATCTTACTTAGTACTTTTAAAGTTAATTTCAGAAAAAATTTGACACAATGGTATCCGGCACATACAAGTGGTGTACAACCAAAATATAAGTTGGTTTAAACATATATTGCTATATCTCATGATCTTACTTAGTACTTTTAAAGTTAATTTCAGAAAAAATTTGACACAATGGTATCCGGCACATACAAGTGGTGTACAACCAAATCTTCGACTCGATGAACTTGTCATCGAGTTATATTCCAGTGTTGTTCCTTCATTCCTGATTAAGTTGCAAATTAAAGGTCTGGATTCAGAGAGAAGTGTTAAAGTTATCAAAAAAGTCACAAGAGATTTCGAAGAAATGACACAATTTTAAAAAGTCGAATGCATCAGTATGCTTGAAGCTGTTCAGAAAGGTCTGAAAAATGATACACTTGATCCCAACATTGTTTACTCAACATTAAAAATATTATTGCAAAGAAAACATTTGATTTAATAAACATTTAATTTATTATAATTAATTTTTTATTACAGTATAGTAAAAAATGCTATAAATAAATTATTATATTTTATTAAAATGTGACTTTTAATAGTAAGTGAATAAAATAAATCAGGAATTGGGAAAGAAATAAGGTTAATTAAAAATAATGAAAATTACAAGTTTAAGGTTAATGAAAAAGTGACAATAGGGCGAGTTTGTCCCCCACTCAAATTTTGAATGAAATTATGGGAAATAAAAAAATTACTAAATATTGTATTCATACAAATATATTATTTTAAAGGAAAAATAGATGCTGATAGAAACGATGAAAATTTTTGAAAACTTTACAATTAATTTATGTTCGTTAACCACAGAGTCATGAATTCTCATACTAAGGGATATCCAACATATATTTTAATAATCTAATAAGGGTTTCGTTTTGCTAAAATTGTCACTTTTATAGCATATTTGTTTTTGGATGTTTTGCGAAACCAAAAAAAAACTATGATATACAATGTGTGTGTAAAGAAAATACTTTATTTACTAGTTAAAAAATCATTTGGTATTGATCAAGTTTTTTTTCTGGATAAGATATTATATGGATAATTGGATAGAAAATACAATTATATAATCTTGTACCTGGTTTAATTAAGCTAATTGTCATCAGAAACTTGTAATTTTTATGAATTTCAGATTTTCTTTTCATTACTGCTTTTCTTAATAGGTCAAGTTCTTATTTACGTTATAAAGTATGATATTTACAAATATCAAGTTATCATGTTTTTTGAGAAATTATGAGAAACAAACAAAAATGAAAAAGATAGGAATTGCAATGAATAGTGATGTGGGTATAGAAAATGTAAGAGATATGAATGCAAAGCAATCAGTATTTAGGATATTGACCATAGATTTCGAAAAAAAATGCTGCATATTGAGCGAAAACTATGATTATATTATAAGGCTGTCATTTAAAGCATAATGAAACTATTCCCTTTTCATTTTAATCGAGTAAGATAGTAAAGATTTTTGAATTAGCTAGAAACTGATGAGATGTTTTCACAAATCAGATTTTTAATCTCTATAATGCATAATTCACTCAATATCTCAATTTTGATATTGCGAGATATTTTTGCTATCGGTTTCGCAATTTTGACACAATAGCAAGAGGGTTCTATAAGCATTATTATCAACGTAGAATCTGAATATCATATCAGAAAATGTCGCAAATCTGACATTTCCCCGACCAAATAGCAAAAATAATTGAATACTTTTCGCAAAAACTTTAAAAATCGATAAAAATATGAAATATAGATATTAAAGAGACTTTTTATATAATATTCATAAAGATTTTCCAAAAATATGATACCGCAAAATTAAAAAAGTGACGTCTTGAGTGGAGTCAAAGGTCGAAATTGCTAGCTAAATGTTTTTTTAGCGAAATTGCGTATTGTACGTTTTTTTCGCAAAACGAAACCCTTAAATCTAATGTTTGTGACAAATATTCAACATAAAATTAAGTTTTCGTTTCGTTACAAGGCATTCATACTTTGGAGATATCATATTTAATGTACAGAAAAGTTAATATTAAACAATGCATGCTAAAGAATTAATAAATAAGATAATAAAATAAATTTATACGTAATTACTTTCATTTAATATGCTTTATGCTGTATAATATTGATTAAGAGGCATTAAAAGGTTCCATAGTCTGCTTTTATAGGCAAGATTTTTGATAAAAATTTTAAATTTTGAAAAATGATGAGAAAAGGAAAAAAAGGTAAATGAGAGCAAGAGGAGGGGAAAAAAGAAAAAGAAAAGAAAGGGAAGGGAAAAATAAAAGAAAGAAGGACATATAAAATTTTAGATGCGCATTCTTAATGCCGAGGCGGCTTGCCGCCGAGGCGCAATTTTTTTAGGCCTCTACGGTAGCCCGGCAATGTTTTTTTAAATCTTGTACAGCCCTACTTTTACCTTATCAATATACTTCATATAATATACACATGTTCATGTAAAAACTTTTTTCCAAAATCCTCAGGAATTAAGGGATTTTTGAATTTTAAGAATTTTTTTCGAATTTGTTCGAAAAAAAATATTTTCAGAACAGCCTTAACGGCTAAGATTTAGGAACAATGTTAAGTATCAAAAAGAAAGGAGGTCTGATATAGACAACATATATCGTTGAAGGTTGAAAAAATCTCTAATATTTGAGCCCAAAATTTCAAATTTTAATTTTTTGAAAAAAGAGGCCACCCGTATGTACGTTTATTTGAGAGGAGGAGGATTATATTTTTGAAAGGGTGAAACATTATGAATATGTTAATTATATAATAATATGTATTATTATAAAAAAGAAAAAATAAAGCACGTTAAATTTTTTCTTTCTTGATTTTTTACAAAAT